CGGGGTCTTGTCAGAGAGAGATTTTCCCTGAAAGGTGGGGAGAGAACTCTGCGCCCCCCCCAATTAGAACTCTGCCAATTCCAAGGCCAAAAGAGAACCCAAAAGCAACTGATTACTTTGCATAACTGCAAGAGGGTAGGGAAGCACTTTTTTTTTTAACACACGGTGCTTCCTTCCCCCCCCCCTCTCACGCTGTGCAAAAGCACAGGGCTGGAGAGGCAAAAGGCAAACTGAAAGTGAATACAGGGACCTTTCGTGCTTGCCTTTTCTAAAAATAAAAAGTAAGCAACATCCAGGTGTAGTGGTTAAGAGCATGGATTGTAATCTGGGAGAACCCAGTTTGATTCCCCACTCCTCCTCCACATGCAGCTGCTGGTCTGACCCTGGGTTCTTTCAGAGCTGTTCTCTCAAGGGCAGTTCTCGAGAGAGCTCTCTCAGCCCCACCTACCTCACAAGGTGTCTGTTGTGGGGAGGGAAAGGGAGAGGAGATTTTAAGGTGCTCTGAGACTCCTCCGGGTAGTGAAGGGAAGGGGTATAAATCCAGTCTCTTCTTCATCATCCAAGATGTTTGTGCAAACATAAATTAAGCAAAGACCGCACCGGGTTCCTTGAACTAGCTCAGATGACTAAGGAAAAAGATTAAAAAACCTAGTCTGACGTATCAGAAGGCTTTCACTCTGAAAACTCTTAATTTAAGCTGCTCGGTCATCTATTCTTTTAATGGTCTGGCTGGAAATCTTGGTAATTTTTTAATGTTTCTTCTTAATGATGTCTAATTTCGTGAGCCGCCTCAGGCAGGGCACGTAGAGGGGCGGCATAAAAGTGCCCTAAATGAAGACCCAAGAAGATCCCAGTTCGAACCAGATTCTGCCGTGGATGCTCACAGGATGTCCTTGGGCCAGTCACCGTTGCCTGGCCTGGCCTACCTTTCAGGGCTGTTGTGAGGATAGAGAGGAGGGGGAGTAGGACAGAGAAGAAGAAGAAAGAAAGAAAAAGAAGAAGAGGAGGAGGAGGAGGAGGAAGAGACTGGATTTATACCCCTTGCCCTTCACTACCCAAAGGCGTCTCAGAGCAGCTTACAAGCTCCTTCCCCTTCCCCTCCCCACAACAGACAGACAACCTGTGAGGTAGGTGGGGCTGAGAGAGCTCTGAGAGAAACGGCTCTTTTTCAAGGACAGCTCTGGCAGAACTATGGCTTGCCCAAGGTCATCCAGCAGGTGCAAGTGGAGGAGTGGGGAATCAAACCCGGTTCTCCCAGATTAGAGTCCACGCACTTAACCACCACACCAAACTGGCTGATATGTTGTCTGTCGTCCTGAGTTCCTTGGAATAAGATTGGGATAAAAATCTACCCAGGTCAGACTAAAGGTCTATGGACTCCAGTATCCTGTTTCCCGCCATGGCTAAAACCAGATGCTCCTGGAAAGGATATGGAGACCAAGGCCTCCCTGGCTTTTCCCCTCCACAAACCACTGGAATTCTTTGGCATATTTCCTGTGAACACGAAGATAGATTCAGGTGGGTAGCTGTGTTGGTCTGAAGCAGTGGGGTAAAGTCTGAGTCCAGACGGGGCACCTTTCAGATGAACAAAGTTTGATTCTGGGTATCAGCTTTTGTGTGCAGGCCGCACTTCTTCAGATAGATTCTGCAGGTAGCCATGTTGGGCTGAAGCAGTCGAGCAAAGTTTGAGAGTCCGGTGGCACCTTTAAGACCAGCAAAGATTTATTCAAGCTGCAGACTTTTGTGTGCACGCACACTTCTGTATCTGAGGAAGTGTGCATGCACACAAAAGGCTTTGTACCTTGAATAAAACTTTGCTGGTCTTAAAGGTGCCCCTTGGCTCAAATTTTGTTCTCCTGTGAACATGGATATCTGTGAACGCAGAGGGTACCCTCCTAGCTCATAAGCTAATTCACAGACCCACAGAAGCAAACAAGACCAGAAGCGATCAACCAACAACCCTGCCAATCAACGCCGATCAACTCTGCCGGGTCGAGTTAACAAGGCCACGGGAGAGCTACAGAAGTTGTAATTATCTTGGGATCAGGACAGGAAATCAAGTAGTTTACTAAGAGCAAGAAATGCACAAAGCGATAAGATTTTTTTTCTTGAATCTTTATGAAGAAGACTTTATAGATGGGGAAGGAATGGAGAAACATTTATCAGAATTACCAACTAAAAGACTGGCATCTGACCACAGAAGAATTCTGAACCAAGAAGAACAACGCTCCGGGACGGCCCGACAGCAACTTATTACGAATGCTTTCAAGAAATACTAGCGATACCTTTGCAAAGAGTAATGAGTGAAATGCAAGAGGGAAAGTGCAGGCCATCCATGTGGCGAGAAGCGAATATAACTTTAATACCTAAAGAAAGGAATGACCCATCCTCACCACAATCATATAAGCCAATCTCATTATTAAATGTGGGTTATAAAATCTATACGTTAATCGTGGCTGAGAGATTTCAGAAAATGC